GGGAGAGACTTCTCGTCTTGCTAACCCGACGGGGCTTCCAAGAGGCCTGGGACGGCCGTTGTGGACCAGCATGCTCTCCTTGGCCAGGCCTAGCATGGTCTAGTATTTCAGTCTTGTTTTCTTAGCAGCTTGAATATTTTATCAGATGCCTTAATTGGGAGTTAAGTGGGGTTGAGGATTTTTTTGTAAGGAGAGAAAGTAGGTCTAACAGATGCACATTGTGATTGTCCAACAATCCTCTAACCATGTTGGTTTGCAGCTCCCATAATGTGTAACAAACATGATAATTAACTAAGCATAAAATATAAACCTTTATAGGGTGCCACTTTAGAAAATAGTTTGTTAGGGGTAGGAGAAATAATAGAAACAATGTTTTCTGGTTAGACATGCCTTAAGAAAGCCAATAATGCCCCTAAATTAGTAGTAGGTCTAAGTAGTGATCAAAAGAGAATCAGGAAATCAGTAACCAATTTTTCTTTCTTTTTAACTTCACAGGCCACTGAACAAAAAAACAAAGGTAAGTTAGTTGAAATACTTACAATTATTTCCCCACCACTTTGGTATGTATCCTCTTGGGTGGGGGGTGGGGGGTTTGACTGCAGATTTTATAAGAGACCTGACGGAGGTATGATCAGATACTTCCAGGTGTTCACCTTTGTGGTCTGAAAAGCACCTGCAAGCAGTTTGCTCTTCCCATCACTTGTCATACTCAGTCTTACTCATTGAGTCCCACAAAATGAGAACAAAAGGCAACAAATTAACTTAGGGAAATTCCTTGATCTTCTTTTAAAATACAACAAATGATCTCCTTTTCCCATATTCTATCTCTTAACAAATCTATAAAATTATCATCAGTCCTGATGCCAGCAGAATCCATTGAGAGTTAACAGTTCTATTTTAATCAAGTAAATCAACTTTATATTATTCTAACCAATCTTGATCTTTAATCGTTTCAAATAATGTCTTAGAATTTGATGTCTTTTTATTTTATTTTTCTTTGTCCTTTCTCACAAGATTCTTCAAAATGTTAACAAGCCTCTTTTGAAAATCTAATCTATGATAATTATCCAGGTCACTTTCTTAGTTTATTAGTACATTCCTTTTAATTATTAAGATGTCAGAAGCTGCTTCTTGTGTATGTCCAGTATAGCATCTTTTTCCATTCCATTCTTGTAGCCTGTCATTTTTAAATCCACTTTCAAATCAATTTCAATCATATCAGGTAATACTTGTTCCTGTTCTATAATACCTTGTAAATACAGTCTGTCTATAGAGGCAGATATTGACTTCTGTCCATTGTTCCCAAATATCCTTGAAGACATCCGATGTTAAAATGTTTTCTGTGTTAGTAAGTCAAATTTGGATGTTCTTCTTAATCTTTAGTTCCCTCTAGTGTCCAATTATTAGAGTCTTTTATTTTTTTTAATTCAAAGGAGAAGCATTTTCTCATGGGAAGGATTTTTCATAATTCAGATTAACAGTGTTGGAAAGGGATCTTGTAGGTCATCTAGTCCAACCCCCACACCCAAGCAGGAGACCCTACACCATTTCTGACAGATCTCTTCAGTCTCTTCTTGAATGCATCCAGTGATGAAGCTCCCACAACTTCTGAAGGCAACTTCTGTTCCATCGGTTGATTGTTCTCCCTGTCAGAAAATTCCTCATTTCCAGGTTGAATCTCTCCTTGATCAGTTTCCATCCATTATTCCTTGTCTGGCCTTCGGGTGCCTTGGAAAATAGCTTGACCCCTTCCTCCTCTCTGTGGCAGCCCCTCAAATATTGGAGCACTGCCATCATGTCTCCCCTGGTCCTTCCCTTCACTAGACTAGCCAGGCCCAGTTCCTGCAACCGTTCATCGTATTTTTAGCCTCCAGTCCCATAATTCATTCTACACTGGAATGGATTCTTTGGTCTTTTAGAGGATGCCACTGTACTTGTGGCTTTGTTTAGATTGTACTGTTATTTTATACCAGGGCTCTCCAAACTTGGCAACTTCAAGACTTGTTGGCTGTCTGACTGGATGGCTGAGGAATTCTGGGAGTTGAAATGTTAAAGTTGCCGAGTTTGGAGACTCCTGGTTTTTTTTTTTACTGCTGGTGCCCAGAGAGCATTAAGAGTGGGGTAGGAACGCTGTAAAAGTCATAAACAAGAGGCTTGCAATGGGGCAGGGCTTCAGTTGCAACGTTCACATAATCAATTCTTGTGAGATTCCTGATTGTTTCCTGTCCTGCCAGTTGAAGCAGGCAGCGATAATCCTGTTTGTTTGCTTATGAAATCCGGTGTCATCCTCAGGTAGATTAAATTCTCTGGGAGTCTTGGATTTTTCCAGTTGTCTTTATGTTTTGTTCTCTTCTGCAAGGCTAGAAGAGGTTTAAGTATCTGTTGCCTTGGCCATTCTGCTTTTCTGCTGGGGTGGGTTGGGCAAGATGCCCGTCTTCCTTTTCTCGCGCAGCATTTACACTGAACAAACTAACATCCTCCCTCCCTCCCTCCAGTGCATGGGAGTGACGTCACTTATGGCAGCTTATGGGTTCCTTCCCGGAGACTCTTAGTTTCCATTAAAGAGCTTTCAAATATTTTATGGGTGATTGAACAGAAATCTGGTCCTTCATCGTATGAACTGAACCCAGCCAATCTGTTTTCCTTCATTTAGTTAAATTAATTGTTCCTTGTGCTTCCTACAAAATGTGCTTGATGTGTAAGAAGCACATTGTATTGCAAAACTTGAAGGGGGAATGTTTCAAATTTGAAGTACTTTGAACTTGAAGTATTGTGTTTTGAGTCGAGAACAATCTTTGAGTTCAGAGTGGTTGATTCCTACCTTACCTTGTGGTTTCCAGCATCTTCCAGCCAGTTTGGAAGTATTCTGCCTTCCAAGCTCAGTAGCATTTCTGTAACGGTAAGAGAAGAGGCGTTTTCAGCACGAAACAGGGCTTTGTACCATTATGCCTACCCTTAAAGAAGCCTTGTGGTGACTGATTTGTTTAGCATTGATAAGGTGCTAGTTGAACCGAGGAGACTGATCTTTCGAAGGCATTCAGTTAAAGAAACATAAGTACGTTCATCCACTCTCTGAATAGTCTTCATTTCAAAAATGTCAATATATTTCTAGTGGATAGTTGACGTGAGCCTTAATACAGCAAAATTTGGCGTTTTTATTTTCCTCACGTGAGAGCTGAGCAAGAATTAAAACTGCTTGCAAAATGCATACATTCTAGAAAATAAGTAGGTGCCCTTTGCTGAAGAAAACGCTTTCCTTAAAATTGGAACAATTTTCCTCTGGATTAATATTGAATACCTGGAAAACATTTCATCCTCATAATTTTGCTTTGTAGCAGAGTATTTAACGTTGTGGCAGGTTTTCTTTTCAACCCCCCCCCCCCCCCCACCACCCCCCCACCCCCGTGCTGAGTGGAGCTTGCCGTTCCTCCACTGAGACTGTCTTTTCCGCAGAAGAAGGCCGGAAGGTGTCTTTGGTGGGGTGAGAGGGGGCTTGGTTGTCTGGCCATTCAACATTTGCAGGCGGAGAGCTTGTTGGCCCATTCCTTCGAGCAGCACGTGGACCATGCCTTAAAAGTGGCAATAAAAGGACAAAATTGTATAGGCAACGTTATTTCATCTTATGCAATAAAAGGGGTTTAGTTTCTGATTGTGTAGGATGGCTCTTCATCAGATGACCAGATCCTGTCTTTACTGAAGTTATTCAAATTATTGAAAGTTAGGAGACTAGATGCTCCTAGAAAATTCCTGCTCGTATTGAAATTGGAAATCTGCAAAGGGTTCCGTTATGACCAATATATCTGATCCTTCAAGCATCCACGTGAAATCAGTCAAGAGAGTAAGCAGGTTAATAATCCTTTGAGGTTGTTATTGAAGCCTAATTTGCCCTGAAAGAAGTCCTCTCCCAAGTTTTGGCTGCTAGCCCATTGTTTAAAGTTGGCAGCAATGTAATGAATGCTTGCAGATATTCCGCTTCTGGGATGAAGATCCCATTAAGAGAAACATTTTTCTCTTTTTCCATAACAGATAAAAACGGAAGCTTTCTAAAGTCAAAGCAAACTGAAAAGCAGAAGATGTAGGCTTTCTTGATAGTGTCCATTCACAGATATTGTGTTGGGGAGGACGTTCTCACACTGATAACACGCCTTTGTTCTCTGTGAGAAAAAAAAAGCTGAACTTCCCTGCGGCTCTCTTGATCTGCAAGCATCTGGTTTCCTGTTTCAGAAAAGAGTCTGACCAAGCTAAAGTAATACTGTTCCTCTTGCATCAAATGTTGGTGTTGCTATTGGGGTTTTTAAAATGTTTATCACTCTGCCCCCTCCCCCACCAATCTGCAACTCCAGGCACCAAACATGCTCCTTCTTCCTCCCATTTTCCCCACAATAACAATAACCCTGTGAGGTGACTAGAATTCACAGTCTCCTGGTTTTTAGACCAGCACCTTAACCAAACTGTTGCAATATATATTAATGCAACAATCCCCAATCTTTCTGGCTGCATGGACTGGTCCCACACACATGCACATGAAGCTTCACAAGCTCACCAACCACTTGCCAAGCCCGTTTCCCATATTAATACATAGCCATTAATATATGTGGATTTGTGCCCTAACGCAGGGGTCTCCAACCGTGGCAACTTTAAGGCTTCAACTCTCAGAGCTGGCTGAGGAATTCTGGGACTTGAAGTCCACAAGTCTTAAAGTTGCCACGGTTGGAGACCCCTGCACAAACAGTGGAAGCACCATTTCCAGAGCCCCTAGTTGATGGTCAAGATCCTTACATGTAATCCTCTACTTAAGACCATACTTGGGACCAGGATTTTGGTTATAAGTCATTGCAGACATAGAGTTGACGCACCACATGACATTGTTGTTTTTTTACAATAGTTGTTAAGCAAATCTCGCCATCAAAAATCTGAATCCGCTCTCCCAAATAGTGTTCCTTTTGCCAGAAACCAGCAAAAAAAGGTTGCAGGTTACAGTTGCCAAGACCACAGGACACTGTGAGCCAGTTTTCAAATGCCCATCATGTGACTTGCAGGGCCTGGTAGATGTTTTGCTCTAGCCGGAAATGCTTTACAAGGCAACCAAGCCCCCTTTTCCAGGCTGTTGTTGTGACTTCAGCCAATCATTAAAGGGTCATTAGTAAGTCAAGGACTGTCCATGGGATCTTCGATGCCACAGACCTGGCAGAATTACTCTGAAGGAATCTGGTGGACCTTTTTTTGATTCACAGATTTAAAAGGCACAAGTTTCACGAGTTGAAAAAGATGCTATCAGATTCCTGCTTTTTTTTTTTTACCTCCCTGCTACTACAGACTTGCACAGCTCTACTCCTCCCTCTGGAATTATTCTGAGTAGAATCAAATCATTAGCTGGAAGAGTAGTGCAAGTGATTAAATACCCCTTTCTGTGTTTGGAAAGGATTAACTCAATAAACCTGCAAAGCTTAAGGCATAGCTTTTTAATTTTCTCTTGTCAGTAAACAGCAGAACAGTTCCTCACTGTCAGTGTTGTTCTATCTCGGCTGGCACTTAGCTACCCCTCCTTGCTCCAGAATAGTAGCATTTGAATATGCTGCTTGCTTACCATTGATAAATAGATTAAAGCGATAATAGATTTAAAGAGATTGATCCATGTAAAATATGATTGGGAAATAAATCATTAAACTAATTGCAGTGCAATTTGACTCATTTACTACTCTGTTTTATCCAGGCATTCTTGCCTCTGAATTCTGCCGGAGATAAAAATGGTTTATTCTCAGCAGTTCAAAAGCATTAGCCATTTGCTCCCTATGGCTCTTAGCGTTACATAATTTTTCTTCGGTCTTCATACATGTGACTCCTTTGATTTCTCCTGCCCTCTTCCTTCAGTCTCTTCTCCTCTTTCCACTTGTCTCTCCTCAAAACCAAGAGATTTTCCATTTACAATTTGAATCCAGAGAAGTGAGTCGGGGGCAGCTAGAGTTGACCTGCTCCGCCACTTCCTCAAGTGCACCTTGCCTTCCTTTCCATGTTCCCTTCAAAGATGAAATATTAGGATATGGCCAGATTCCTGCCTATTCCCTTTCTCACCCCACCAAAAAGGGAGAGCAGGAACTGGTACCATTGCACTGCACCTGGTCTTCTGAATGGCTCTAAAGACTGCTCACCCTTGATGGGATACCAGGATGTACTTCAGCTTGGAGACCGTGCTTGTAAGCTCCTGTCCCGCCTTCATTCGGTTCATCCCGAGAGGTCACGGTTCGTTCATAAAGTGATGGTTCTGCCCCAAGAACCTCCAGGCAATTTCCATTAGCAAGGCCAGAGTCAGTAGCAGCCTTCTGCCTTCCGAGTGGACCTGAACATTCCTGGTGCACCTTTTGCCAGGAATTTCTGCTCTGGTAGTGCAGAGAAAACTTGGAGCTGTTGGCCAAAGCTTCACCAGCCCAATGAAGGACTGCTTTTTTTGCGGGAAGTTTCTGAGTAATGTTTCTTTGTACTCTGGATGAGGTGCATGTTGATGCATTGGGTAAGCATGGCAATTTTTAACATTTCTTAACTTGTATTTCTGGTAGTTATGCTATTATATTTGTTTTGGTATTGGGGCATTCATAAATATGTTGAATAGATTACAGAGACCAATTTTCAAATTAGCTGCACGGCAACAGTAGAATATCGACTCCTATCATAGTGGAACTTGTTTTGGAAATGCTGAATTCTTTGCAATCAGAGTGGCATGTAAGGCTCAGTTGATGGACTAATTCACCTTAAATACTTCGTGTATTTTTGTTTTTTAAAGAGATCGTGTTCGCAATAATTTACTAAATACATTCTTCCTTCTCTTCTCTTTGGGGGGGACAGTGTTAGAACCCCCAAAGCCTGGTACAAGCCAGCCACTCCCTGCTTCAGCCCCTCCTCCCACCTCTATAGTCACCGGCAGTGTTAGCGGCAACAATAATGCCAAACGGGCTGTGGGCAACAATCCGCAAGCGCAGCAGCCGTCTTCACCACGCTACCCGCCTCGAGAAGTGCCGCCACGGTTCCGGCACCAGGAGCAGAAGCAACTCTTGAAGCGAGGACAGCCCCTGCCGGGGATTGCAGCCAACCTGAGGGCACCATCCAAACTGCTGAACAGCCAGGCGGGCGAGAGCACCGGGAGCCGCGAGCAGCCGGTCTCTGACAGCCAAGGCCAGAGCAGCAGCCAGAAGCAGCCAGGTGAGAGGGAGCGAAGCGTCCATCTGGGCCCGGGAATGTCAGCGTCAAGGAGGGTGGCTGGGCAGTGAGATAGCACACACAGAGCTTGGTTGTTCAGTAAAAGGCTCTGGTAATTCTCTCGCCTCTCGCGAGGAAATAGGATAGATCTGCTGCAGGACCTCCCAGTCCACTTTGGCCCTGATGACATGTTTCCAAGAGGTTTCAATAGCCAGGCAGCCAGGTTGTACTGGTCATTGGCTCTTGTTAATTGTCTTTGCTTGGTTTGTTCAGAATAGAACAGACATTGGGGTTTTCTTCTTCGTCTTCTGGGACGCTGATCCAGAAAAATGGTTTTCTTTCAACCTTCCCGGGTGCAGGTTTTTGTGTGTTTTTTTTGCACAGTGCTTTGTTTTTAGTAACGCTTTCTGTTTTTCTCAGATCTGAACCACAGCACACTTGGATCCCATTATGAGAATGCTCACTGGGAAAGGATCTTTTCCAGTAGTGACTCCAGCACAAACTGGGACAAAACTGTTGTAGGCGGCTCAGAGAAGGAGGCTTGGCCCTCGACCACCGGCAGTGACTTGGAGCTGGCTTCAGAATGTATGGATGCTGATTCTGCCTCCAGTTCCGGGTCAGAGAGGAACATTATTATGGCCTCGTGGGGCCCAAGCAGCGACGTCAGCCACCTGCAAAACGGCATTGGACACGGCAATCAGGCCAAGCTGGTCAGCAGTAGCAACAGCAATAATGTGAGCGGCGGAAGCATTAGCGGGTCGTGGGGCGCGTCTCTAGGCGCCCTGATGAGCCCCTGTCCCCTTTCAGCAGATGCTTCCAATGGTCTCCCTGAAAGTAGCCACAGCAGAGCGAATGCTTGGGGCGCCCCCAGTTCATCCAGTGAAGAATTGAATCCCAGCACTTTGACCTCCAATGGCCACGGTAGTGCCTGGCCAGTCTTGGAGAGCAGCGGGCCTGCCCTGAAAGGGTCGCGAGGAAGCGGCAGCTGCGGCACAGGTGCCGTTCAGATGGTGAACAATCAGAGCATGAACTCTAGCCTTGCCAGCTCCTGGGGCAGCCTCCAGGAAAACTGTGATTCCCAACTCCACGGTACAAGGAAACTTTCACGAAGTGGGCAGCCTCAGCACCCAAACCACGACGTGAATGGACCAAATAAGAACTCTACTAACTTTATGACCTCTAGTTTACCAAACCCAGCTGGTTCCATGCAGACGACTGAACCGGTTAGTAATGCAGGGCCCGGGACCTGGGGCAGGAGCGCCAAAAGCAATCGGCCTCAACCCTCACCCTCCCCAGTAACAAACGGCACTTCCATTTCGCACCTGAGCAATGGTGACGCAAAACATGGTGGGGCTCCTGGTACTCGGTGGGGTACCTATGGCCCCGGTTACTCCCTAGAGACCCGTTCCGACTCAAATAGCCAAGCTAACAATGACACTGTGAATGCAACGCCAATGCAGCCCGGGCTGAGTAGGACCGGCAGCTCAGCCGGGGAAATAAGTGAGGATCAGCGGACAGGGGCGTGCGAGGTGGCAGGCGTGGGCAGTAGCCAGAATGGCACCTGGGGGCCTAGAAGCGGAATGGGCCACGGAGGAGGCCGCAGAGGCTCAGCCCAGAATGCCAACTTAGGCGACGGGGAATGGAACAAACTCCCAGGAGGCCATTCCTCTGAAGCCAACAGTGGCAATGGGAAAACGTTTACCAGTGAATGGAAATCTGCCGAGGGGGAGAAGGCGGACCCCCAATGCTGCGCAGCGCCCCAGGCCCCAGAGCAGAACGGTGGGTGGGCCAAGGCCAGTTCTGGAGCCGGTGATGGCAATCTCGAGGTCGCCGAGGAGCGCTCCTCCACAGAAGGGACAAGCCACGAAAGGAGGAAAGTAGACCAGCAGGCACTGCTTCAAAGCATAGTGAACCGGACGGACCTGGATCCCCGTGTCCTTTCCAATTCTGGTTGGGGGCAAACCCCGATAAAACAAAACACCGCCTGGGATACAGAGGTGGCCCCAAAGGGCGGAAAGAAACCTGACAATGGAACAGAAGCCTGGGGGGGTTGCGTGGCCCAAGGCTGCAGTCCAGGGGGGGCTCCGGAGAGGCCCCACCTCCATGGGCCCAGTCCTTCCCCTGCGACGGGCTGGGGTGAGCCAAAGCCTGCGGGCAGGTGGGGAGATTCCAGAGGCCCCAGCAGCCAGGGAGGCTGGGAAGAGGGCGCCGCTCCCGCCGTGGCCAAGAGCAGCCAGTCGTGGGTGACGGGCCAAGAGCTCCGGGCTCCGTCACTGACCTGGAACGACCCAGAGAAGCTCAAGCAGGGATGGGGAGAAGGGCCCAAAGCGAGCCCCAGCTGGGCTGTTCCGGCCGGCGACGGCTGGGGGGAGAACATGAGGAACAATCACTGGGGAGAGTTGAAGAAGTCGAGCTCCGGCAGCAGTGACAGCGACAGGTCCACCTCCTGCTGGAAAGAGCCGGCTCGGCCGAACTCTGGGCGCTGGGCTGGGGGCAACGGCGGCGGCGGCACCAAGCCATGCAGCGCTTCTGGGTGGGAGGAGACCCCCAAGCCAAATCCGAGCCCCGTGTGGGCGGAATCCCCCAAGCCAAATCGCTCCCAGGGCTGGGGGGAGCCTTCCAAGCCCTCCGGGTCCCCAGACTGGAACAAGCAGCAGGAGGCCGGGTGCTGGGGGGGCCCCTCAGCGACGGCTGCTGCCGCCGCCAGCAAACCGTCGGGTATGGGGTGGTTGGGGAGACCCATGCCGGCCCCGGTCAAAGAAGAAGAGCCCACCGGGTGGGAGGAGCCCTCCCCAGAGTCCATTCGCCGTAAGATTGAGATTGACGACGGAACCTCTACGTGGGGCGACCCGAGCAAATACAACTACAAAAATGTGAACATGTGGAACAAGAA